TTCCTCTGAACAGTTGCAGCTGTAGGGCTTCCCTCAGTTTCCTGCTAAAGCAATCTAAATCCACCAATGGGTAATCACACCAGCACAAGTCTTGCTCCCACTCTTTAGCTTATTAACAAATTGTAACTGTTCACTGGAGCTGCTGTTTTGAGGGCTCAGCTTCCAATGTCTGAGCCAGTTTGGGGAATGATTTTTTTTTTAAACCTTAAAAGGCTAACATACAAGCCACTAATATATGGCATTTGAGGATGATCCTGAAACGCTTCCTACTATCCCACAAGACTAGACATACAGTGAGTATCTGATGCCTTTAAATATCAGGAAATCGTAACTTCCATGATGATACAGTAGAGCAACTGGATTTTGGAGGAAGGGGGAGGAGAAAGTGTTACTTAAATATTCAATATTTAACTACATGAAGGGTTTTTTATGAGAAATTACAAATAAGACAAGATATACAAAGTACTCTGAAAACTTTAAAAAGCCAAAAAAATGCTAGCTATTAAAAGTCTGTTGACCAGTTTTTTTTCTTTTTTTTTAATATTCATGAAAGCATAAACAAGGAGAAATGGACTGAAACTGAATCTGGAGAAATTTTGGCTACACATAAGGAGGAAGTTCATGACAATCAGGGAAAAATATACTAGGATGGGCATCTGGGTAAAAGTATGGCACCTCTGCGCCCACCTCTCCCTTCCCAGAGATCTTTAATAAGGGAAGATTTAGTCAATCAGTGCTGCCTGAGGACGTTAACCTTATAAATCAATGGTTTCTCAATAACACTGTACTATATGTATCTAGAAATGGAAAACGCTCACGATGGAAAGTCACTTGCATACTGCCATCCTTCTCGATCAGTTCCACCAGAAATGTTGAAATCAATATACCAGTCAGAAACCTAGAGCAGAAAGAGAATACTGTTAGGAGCTCTTTCTCCTCCCTTCCTCAAGCCCTTCCTGTACAGGGTGCACATCAGTTGAAGAATGGCTGAACAAATTATGATATGTGATACACTGGGATATCACTATACCATAAGAAACGATAAAAGGGATGGTTTCAGAGAAACCTGGAACGCTGGTATGAACTGATGCAGAGTGAAGTGAGCAGAATCAGAAATAGAAACAATCTATACAGTAACAACAACACCGTAAAGAGAAACAACTTTCAAAGACTTGAGAACTCTAATCAATGCAATGACCAACCATGATTCCAGAAGACAGATGCAAAGCATGCTACCCCCCCAACCCCCTGACAAGAGAGCTGATAGACTCAGGGTGCAGAATAAGATGTGTCTTTTGACATGGCCACTGGGGGCTATCTGTTTTGTTTGACATGAATATCTGTTACAAGAATTTGGTTTTATGTGTTTGTTTGTTTTTTCAATGAAGAGAGGAGGGCAAAGTGGGAGGCAAAGTAGATTTCTGTTCATTAAAAAAATTAAATTTTAAAAAATGATGAATAGGAGGGTTTCAGAGAAACCTGGGAGCAAAGTACATTAAACTGAGACAGAGTGAAGTGAACAGAACCAAGACAATTTATATAATAACAATAACACTGTAAAGATAAGCAACTTTGAAGGACTTAATTCTGACCAATGCAATGACTAACCACAATCCTAGATGACTCATGATGAAGAATGCTACCCACCTTCTGACTGGGAGGTAATGGATTTAAGATGAATGATAAGATACCTATTTCTGGCCATGGCCAATGGGGCAATTCGTTTTGCCTGCTGGTGCATATTTGTTACAATTACAAGGACTTTGTTGTTGTTGTTTTTCCAACTGGGGTGAGTGGGAAAGGGACAAAATGTATGCCTGTTAATTTAAAAATTAAAATTAATTAAAAAAATTCCTCCTTATGCTACCATTACTTCCCTAAGTCAGGCGACATGAAGTACAGAGCCCAGGACTCACCCATGTCCAGTGGAGGGAGGGAGGCTTGGTGTTGGCCTTTGTGCATTCTTGTAACCCAGTCACATCACTCCACATGTAGCGGTCAGTAGGCAGACCCCTGCAATGAGGCAATAAAAGGAGCTAAGATACACAATGGAGGCCTTCAAAGGGTCTCCAAAGCAACAGGGAAAAAACCCCACCACTACACTCTTCCTAGTTCCCTATGTTAACACACCTGCTGTGGGATGGGTCTGATGACACTCATACAAATTACCCCCAAGCAAGAACATCTGGATACAAGACCTACCTAAGTCATGAGCCAGGCTGTTCCTGGAGGCTGGTTACTGCCTTTCTCAAGTCATCCCCAGAAGGAGGGAAGAGGAGGAAATGGCGGTTACTAGTTCACACCACACCAAACCATCAGTACAGATGAGAGTACAGATGAGTTTCCAGGATGTGACCTGCATGATGACTAGTTCCTGGGGACCACTCAACTTTCTGCAACCCTCCTAAAACAACCAGACCATTAGAGTCCCAATCCTCGTTTCCCATTTGAGTTGGAAAGACTATCAGCGCCAGGGACAATTTCCTGGCAATCTCTAACTTGGTATCTAAGAACTCTAAGGTAGGCTCTAGTGTACGAATGGTCTGTTTAATAACTTGGGAGGGAGCTGAGGTACTTTACAAGCCAACAGAACTGCTCCCGCTGTCTCATCTCATGGATTTAAAACACAGCAAAACTAAATTAATCCCCAGCAACCACAGGGTCCTTTTTTTCTTTAAGGCTCATGCTGCTGACTCTGTAAACAAGATGACTGAGGGGGCAAACTTCATTCTTGTCCATATTCATGATTCTTCAATCCAGGGCTGAATAAACAGGTGGCCATCTCAACCTCTTCTCTCCACCTACAACGGGCTCTGGATCCCTTTTCCTGCAGTTATGGCCTTCTGCCACCCATGCATGCCTCAAACCTGTCACAAGCGCTTTATGCTCTCTGCCTAATTAAATTATACTGTCATTATCTAGTGTAGGCTAGTGGATAAAGCTCTGGTTTGCTACTGACTTGCTAAGTAACTTGATATCACTTGGCCTCTCAGAGCCTCAGCATTTTTCTCTCTAAAATGGGGATAAAAATACCTGCCTCTTTTCTCCTCCTCAGGGATGAGAATTGCTATTTATAGAAAAAGTACTTTGTGATAACAGAAAGGTGATGGACTAAGGATGCAGAGAAAAAGAGGTCTTTAGAAATGAGTAGTGCAGGAAGTTGTTTGCTTGATTATGTATGTACAAGGGTTTCTTTCTTTTCTTTTCTTTTGTTAAATGGGGAGAGAGGGCTAAGAAAATCATTAGGGGGCCCCTGAGGTATGAGGAAAGAAAAAAAAAAGTAAAATTTTATTTTTAAAAAAAACACCTATGATTTAAACTCTTTAAAAAAAAAGTAATGTACTATAGGAATCTAAGTTACAGAAGAACCCATTTATAACATTGGTGATGGGGATAGCACAAACATTTATGACTAATAGTGTCTATCTTACACAGGGTGTCCCTGACCATGAGCAAATCAATTAAGCACTCAGGGGTCTAGACACTTCTAACACTGTATGTGGCACAGATGGTTCAGACTTGCTTTGGTACAGGGAGTTTTCTTACCTGGAAGTGCCCTACACCACTGAAAACATAGGTCCAGTCCCTCTCCCTAGAATACAGGTAAACCTGAAGACAAACCCTGGCTCTCAGAGAAGAGGGGAAACACCCCAGGTCTTCCGGGCTGACATTCCTAACCCCTGTCTGGAAGTCTGTGGTGATTGTTCTCTCTTCACTGCTATCTGTATCTCACCTGCTGGTATAGCCCGTGACAGGATTCCAGCGCTGGTTTTCATAAATGTAAACGCATTTGACATCGGACTGCATGTAGATGTTACTGGTACTGCTGGCCAAGCCTGAAGAGGAAATGTCCTCTGTGAATCAAGTGTCAAGGCAACACTCCCTGCCCCCTCCCCAGCTTCAGGTCCACAGACAGATACCTGCCAATGGAAAACAGGCTTAACCTGCTACTGCTAAGAACATAAGGTTCTATTCTCAGGCCTTCTTCATTTCAAAGCCAGCAGAGGTTACAGGCTTGCCTGAGTTTACTGGCAAACACCGCATTTTCTTTTACATATGTCCCAGACAGATGGCAAGGTCTGTGCCTTACACGTATCCCCCGCCAGATCCAGCCCAGAACCCTTGGCACATACTTTGTACCTAAAAAGTTCACAGCTACAGGTTTTGAGCCCACCTAACAAAGGCGATGGGGAGCAGCCGAAACAACACTAGCCTAGGAGCTAGAGACTGGGTTTCTAGAGCCAGGTCAGTCACATGCTTGATGTTCACCCTTAGGCAAGTCACCTGAGTTCTCTGTGCCTCAGTCCCCTTACCTGTTAGGAAAAGAGAAGACTGGACTAGAGAATTTCTAAAGTCCCTTTTCTACTCTAAACTTGTGTGTTCCTACAAAGCTTCTTTTACTCAGCATATCAAAGTTTCTAAAAGCAAAGACTTGTCCAACTGGTTGGGAAGCAGAAAATAAAGTCATTCCTCACAATTCTTTCCAGAAACATGCCCACTCAGGCAGGCTGAAGGGGCAGTGTGAGGTGGCTCCACTGATGGGACAGAGGAGAGGCCCCAAGATGCCCCAAGCAGTAAATGCCATGACACTGAGACTCCGTTTCCTTTCCCTTCCTCATCTCAACCAGGAGGTTGGCATCTCTGAAGGTCACCTGTCAACCAGCTGTTTGCTAGAGACTAAACATCACAGCAGCAGCTAGAGTTCAGGCATTTGGTAGGAAAACAAAATGGGGATTAAACCAGGGAACAAACACACCACAGACCAGTTAAAAAGGGACATGGTAAGTTGCATGGCTTCATCAGCAAACAGGAGAGATGACCTTGGTGACCCACACTGAAAAGCCTGGAGATGAGTCCTTGCTTACCTTGAAAAAAGCCTCCACCATATCCCCCAGTGTACACCCAGGCTGTGTGATCGTATCCGATGCCCCATACAACACCATGGCTGTTGCACTCCACTACCCGAAGGTGGCCTCCAATCTGACGCCAAAACCTAAGAAAGAAAGGGTGACAAGATACACATTTTAACCTCCTAACATCCTTAACGGGCCAGCCAAGATCCCAGGAGTCTGAGCAAGCAGGAGACACCCAATCTGAATCCATGACCGGGGATTGGGTGGAAGGCAAAGTTTAGAAGAGTGATTTAGGGTCAGGCCATAAATGTCAAAACACTATGGCATCCAATTTACGGATAGGCCAAAACTCTCCTTATGAAAATGCCATGTGATGGATTATTATTATTTCACAAAACACGGAATCAAAGCTTTTAAAAAATGAAATGGTGTCATGTTTGCAAAGTACTCTGCCGACGAAGTGGCAAATTCACATGAACTTGACGTCCTTGGTCTTAAAGGATATACAATTGGCTCCAGAAAGTGCCAAACAGGGCGACAAAACGAAGGTTGTGGAGGAAGGAGACGAGGAAGAGGTAAGTAACATTCTGGGGATGCCTGTTAGTTCCTATGAACTGGACAAGGCCACTCTCTCAATTTGAGAGTGCTTCAAATTAATTTAGAGCCTAGTAGGTAGCCTGCACTCACTATTAAACTAGGCCCAAGCCTGGAAAAGAGGGAAGAGAATAAGCATTTATATAATGCTTACAATGTGCAAGGCACTATGCTAAACATTTTACAATTGTTATCTTATTTGACTGGCAAAACAACACTGCAAGATAGGTGCTCTTATTATCCCCACTTTACAGTTGAGGAAACTAAGGTGAACAGAGGTTAAGTGCCTTGCCCAGGGTCTTGCAGCTAGTAAGTGTCTGAATCTGGATTTGAACTCAGGTCTTCCTGAGGCCAGGCGCAGCACTCTATCCATGAGCCACCTAGCTGCCTCTTTGTACCTCCATTTTCTCACCTATCAAATGAAAGAGTTGGACTTGGTCTCTAAGATCCCTTTCAAGCTTAAATCTGTAACGCTACGATGCCAGCTGGACTCTGTGCCCCTAAAGGACAGGTACTACTTTTCCATCTATCATAGCACTTAGTACTAGTGGCAAGTAGCAGCTGTTGAATAAAAGTATATTTAGGGGCAGCTAGGTGGCACAGCGGATAGTGCTCTGGCCTTGGAGTCAGGAGGACCCGAGTTCAAATCGGGCCTCAGACCAAACACTTGGCACGTACTAGCTGTGTGACCCTGGGCAAGTCACTTAATCCCGACTGCCTCACCAAAAAAATAAATGAATGAATGAATGAATGAATGAATGAATGAATGTTTAGTTCACTAAAAGCATTAATCAACTAAATGGTAGTGTGTAAAGGTGCTGGACTTGGAATCAGGAAAACCTGAGTTCAAATCCAGTCTCAGACACTTGCTAGCTGTGTGATTCTGGCAAGTCACTGAACTGCTACCAACCTCAGTTTCCCTATTTGTAAAACAGAGATAATAATATTAGTATTAACCTTATAGTGTTGTGGTAAGAATCAATACACAGTGCTTTGCAAAACTTAAAACACTAAAGGAATGCTATTAACTACAATAATGAGGAGTCTGTCCCTTGCTATTCAGAGACTGCCTAGAGACAGAGAGGAAAAGGACTGCCTAGAGACAAAGAGGGAAAGAAGTCATGGCTAGTCTCGGATTCTGCTGCCCCAGAGACAACCAATCCTGAGAGGCCCTACCAACAAGCAAGGTCAGAGATTATTCTTGGGTATATTCCAGGACAAAGCAATGTCTACTCTGCCAGTGAACATGCCCTGCATATCCCCACCTCCATACTCTTACACGTTATGTTTCCCTGCCTAGAATTCCCTCTCCTCCTCACTGCCTATTCAAGTCCTACTGGATCCTTTGGAGCCCAGAGCAAGACCCATCTCTTCCACTAAACACTCCACTAAATGCCAGCGACCTCTGCCTTGTGAACTCCCACATCGCAGTAGCTTTAGAAAGGCAGGATGACATCAGATTTGCATTTGCACCTCCCACCACACTAACCACTCCACCTTGCCCATAACAGGTTACTGCTAGTTAGTCAACAACCTAATGGGGTAATACAGAATCTCAAGAACATATCAGTAGGAATTAGTCTATCTGATGAATATCTTGGCAACCATGGTGTTGTGGAACAAACACTGGGTTTGGAATAAGGACAGAGAAGCTGGGTTTGAACCCTGGCTCTGTAGCAAGCATAGTACAGTGGAAAAAAAGTCATATGGCTCTGGTGTCAGAGGGCCTGGGTGACCTTGGGCAAACCGCTTTGTCTCCCCAGGCTTCAGTTTCCTGTTCTGTAAAATGAAGGGGGTGGGGACGGATGGGCTTGTGGCCTCCGAGAGCCCTCTCAGACCCAGGGACGTGATCAAGGCAGTCCCTTCCCCTCTCTGAACTTCAGTTTCTTCATCTGCAAAATGAGGAGGTTGAACTAAATCATCTCTAAAGACCCTTCCAACTCTAAATCTTGTGATCCAAATTTAAGCACATAATAATCAAGCTTTATTTTATATGCTGTTTACGGCTGCCTATACACTAAATCATTCAATTTTCAGAAGCGGGGGGGAGGGGCTGCAGAGCAGTTATCAGAATCCTTATTTTAAGCAGAAAGGATTAATATTATTTAGTTAATTTTAACTAAAATAATTTCAATTTAAAGTAGGAACGATTAATATTATTTTAATTTTAACTTGCCTAAAGAGCCCAGGGCTGGATACAAAGGACAAAGACCAGAACCCAGATCTTTGGACTACCAGGTTAGTCAATTTTCTAATCAACTGATAAGCATTTGTTGAACACCTGCTATACTGTATCTGGGCACTGTTCTAGACTCTGAATACAAAGACAAAAATGAAACAGACACCACGCTCAAAGGGTGCTATAGAGGAAGACATAGTGTACAACACATAAACATAAGATGACTTAAGAACATACAACATAAAGACAATCTATAAAGAGGACACCACATTTATTGCTTCTCTATATCATCTGTCCCTCGAGAATGAGGGGAGAATCAAGGTACAGTGGAAAAAGCACTGGATTTGGAGTCTTTAGGACCTAGGTTCAAATCCCAGCTCTATTACTTACAGCACTACCAGAGTGATATTAGATAATTCACTCACATCTCTGGGACTGTAAAATGAAAAGATTGGACTAAATGATCTCTGAGGGCCCTTCTAGCTCTAAAGTCATGATCCTATAAAATAATAAGTTTTACTAGCAAGAGCAATAAATGCTTCCTGGAGTGCAGCACCATAGAGGGGCCCTGGGCATATGACAAAGCAAGGACTGTGAGTGTCTGGATCATAAGCATGCAGGCATTTTTAAATGGGGAGGTGGGAGGGAGGTAGAGAAGATGGATTTTTGTCAGCTGACAAATATCAAATTAATTTTTTTCTTTTTAAAACATGAGTGTAGGTTAAAAGAAGCAATGATGAGAAGGAAAACAGTTAACTCGAAAAAAATTTTTACAGCAAGTTTCTCTGATAAAGATTTCATTTCCAAAATACATAATGGACTTACTCAAAATTATAAGAACAAGAGCCATTCCTTGACTGATAAACTGTCAAAGGATATCAACAAATAGTTTTCAAAAAAGGAAATCCAAGCTACTCATGGCCATATGAAAAAAAAATGCTTCTAAACTAATTAGAGCAATGAAAATTAAAGCAATTCTTAGGTTCCACCTCATATCCCTTAGATTGGCAAAGTTGACCAAAAAGGAAAATGACAAATGCTGGAGGGGCTGTGGGGAAACAGAACGGTGAATTACTGGGCCACCTCTTCTGGAGAGCAAATTAGAATGATGCCCAGAACTAACTATGCATGTCCTTTGACACAGTGATAACATTACTAGGCCTCTACACTCAAGAGATCAAAGAAAGAGGAAAACGATCCATATATACCAAAATATTGATGGCAGTTCTTTTTGTAATGGTAAACTAAGGGTAGGGATGGTCATCGTCTGGAGAACAGCTGGACAAATTATGGCATTTGAATGTAATGGAACATCACTTCACCATAAGAAATGATGAAAAGGATGGTTTCAGAGAAACCTAGTAACATTTACACGAAATGACGCAGAGTAAAAATTATTCTAGAAGAGCAATGATGAAGAATGTTACCCACCTCCTGATAGGTGATGGACTCAAGGCACAGAATGTGACACGTTTTGACATGACCAATGTGAGAATTTATTTGCTTGACTATGCATACGTCTTATGTGGCTTTTGTTTTTGTTTTTTCTTTTTTTTCAATTGGTAGGACAGGAAGTGGGGAGAGAAGATAAACGCTCGGTAATTGGAAAAACAAAAACAAAACTAAACAAAACAAACGAAAGAATCAAGGATGTAGGCAGGGCAGAGTCCCAAAGGATTAGTGGAAAGACACTGAAGAAAGACAAGCTGCCTGCTTCACCAGTCAGACATTTGTTTCTTCCTAGAGATCTCATACAGCACAAAACCAGATCTAAAACTCCTCTTTCCTTAGGAATTACGTACCCTACTCCACCTTTCCTCCTGGGAAATTAGCTCTAATTCATCCCTTTACACATCAAAATGTAAACAAATCAATCTCTAGGGTTTGGTCTCTCTGGAGGAAGCTCTCAGGCATACTCATCCTTCAGGAGCCAGGAGGGAAAGCAATACATTTAGCTGACGGTACAACAGACACTTCTGACATATGGACTGGAGAGCAGGTTTGCTGGGAGTTGCTTACATTTGGTCACATGGCATTGGATGCGTGAGTGCCTCCAGGTCCGCACTGGGCTCACTCACAAAAATGTCTCCTTTGCAAGTGACAGACCAGATGGCCTGGGGGGAAGGGCGGCCTTGGATCCTTCGGCTTTCCGAGCATGACGTGCTGAGTAGAGCAAGCTGTGAAGATGAGACAGATGGCAAGTAACCGACCCAGAAGAGTGGTGAGAAAACTCACAAGAACCCCAGAGGACAATTTCCAAGGAGTGATGAGTGTTTTTATGAGGGAGAAAGGAAGAACAGCCCTTGTCCCTGGAGATTCATCCTAATGGCAGCCTGGTATTTGGGGGAATTTACCATCCTGATCTGTGAAATCTGGGAATAGGTCATTCAAACCCTCACCTTGAAAGATACACCTTGGCCAAATCACGTGCCCAAGAGGTTTAACACTCACCCAATCATACATTTCTTGCTCAGTAGCAGCAGCGAGACGGATGGGCCACCTCTGTTTGGTTTTCTCTGGGGTATAAAGGGCAAACGAATGCTTGGCCTCATTTAGCACGGGAACCAGCACTGTCACTTCATTGAGAAATATATGGATGTACTGTTCAAAGAGGGCAGGAAAAAACCATAAGCTTTCCATTAATGTTTCCTTCCTTTGGGTTCAATCTGTATCCTTTTGTCCACATCAAGGGGACTAGGGACAGATGCTGTCTGTGCCTCACCCAGTATTCTTAACCACAGAAGGTCATGCCCAAGTGGAACTAAGCCACCCAGCTCTGTGTTCCCCGGGACCACATGTCCTCCTCTTTACCTTAACCATTTTCTTCTCTACCACCACATGTCCCTTCTTTTCTTCCCCTTTCCACCTGCTACCTCTTTCTCTGAGAATTGTAATCAAATCACTTCTGGCCCCTGAAAAGAGTGTGTTAACGGACTGCTCCAGTGTTCCATTCACCATCTTAGTGAAATTCAGGTCAGGTCAGGACTTCCTGGACTCTATTACCTGCCCACAGTTCCCCTATATGCATAATCCTCCCCCATGAGGACATAAGCTCAAGGAGGATAGCAACTGTTTCATTTGTGCATCTGTATCCCAAGCACTTAGCACAATGCTTGGCATACAGTAAGTACTTAAAAATGCTTTTAGTTCACTCAGCAGCAGAATCAGACCTCTTATTACTCAGTTGTGTTCCCTTCCTTACCAACACCCTTCTCTTGGAGAGGGACAAGCCAGGGAAGCAGCTAGACCCCGTGCTCTCCACATTCTTATCTTGTCCATTAAGGTTATTAAAATAACTACTACAACAATACTACCAATGAAACTCAGATCTCAGGGTACAGGGTCTCAGAACCAACACTTTGGCTATCAGTCAGTGCCTGGCCTCTTAATCAGTACTAGCATCCTGAACAATATGACCCACACCTGTCACTTAGAGCCAGCAGGTATCTGTTGGGAGGTGGGAAGCACCCACAGCATAGGAACTAAGGCTCTCAAAAAAAAAATGTTAAACAATTAGGTATTTAACATTTTTTAAGCCAGACCTACAATTTAACTTTTTTTTTAAAAACAAATCTATAATTCCACTGGCATAAGAAGCAACCAGGAAAGAATTTCTTTCTTTGCCAATGCAGAACAGAGCCTTCTCTGCAATATACAGTGAGGTGCCTGGGGCACTTTAAGGTAAAGTGATTTGCCCAGACTCACACAGCTAGTATGTGGCAGAAATGGAGCTAGAACCCAAGTCTTCTTGATGACCAGGCCATCTCTATCCTCTACACCAGAGGTGTCAAACTCATGGCCACAGACTGCAAAACTCCAAGGCAGGAATCAAATTAAAAATGCAACTGGGAAATGTTGAACAAAGTAAATAAAAAATAACAACATAGATAATCTTAATTTGTGGTTTTCGAAGTCAATATAGTGGTTGCAGGGATCCCTTTCTATATATGTTTGACATCACTCTTCTCCATCACTCTACCCTCTCAGATAAACATACACAGTTAAATTTAATAAACACCTTTCTGATAACAAATTTTGCTCCCAGAATTCCTATGGCTATGTTGTTTGCATTTCAAAGTCTCAGACTAGGACTCCTTGTGGATACTTTCTTCACACAACAGGTTTGCCAAGGGCAGCCTAACCCCCTTATTTTCATCCCAGCTTCCTTAGTGTCCTCTCCAGGGCTTGCCCTGGTCCCCACTCCCTTCCTTTCCCTTGCCATCTGCTACAGCACCTTCTTTTCCTCATGGAACATGTAGTAGATGAAAAGGATGCTGTCTCGAGTCCCATCATTCCCAGTGAACTGCTCCAGCGCTACCCGGACATCAATCCACTTGTGGGGCTTCCAGTCTGCCCACCACTGCAGTGTGCCAGTCTTCACCCACACCGACTGCAAGAGGCACCCGAGAAGTATAAATACAAAAGCAGGGTTAGTGGCAAAAAACCTGAAAAGCCTAAGGAGCCTTACATAGATCTGGACAGATGCCTTCTGAAAGAGACGCACATCCCATGTGTGAAGCACATGTGTGTTCCTTTCGAGAGTTAGGCAATACCTTTTAAAGTCCCTTAAGAGCCCCATGTGCTTTCTTATCCCTCACTTCTGTTTGTCCTATCTCTATGAAACAAGAAGCAGCAAGCTCTGGAAGAGCCCAGGGCCCAGAGGGCCTCAGGGCGGGTCATCAGTGGAGAAGGGATCATTCTCTGGGAAAAGCTCTCTTTACACACAGCAGAAGGCAGCCTGCTGTAGAGAAACAAAGGACCCGGAGATGATTCCTGGTTTTGCCATTTACTCACTGCATGACCACGGAAACCTTGACTTCTCTGTCTATGAGCTACAAATTATAATATCTGCATTGAAAAGGTGTTCTGTAAGCAGAGCAGGGACAGGGAGTGGACCTAGGGAACTCGCAGGTAAGCAAATTCCCTTTACTTCTGCAAATGGGCCCATATTCTGCAATTTAAAGTTCTCAGAGTTGCCTAGAGTCCTGAGAGGTTTAGAGACTTGTCCGGGGTCACACAGCCAGGAAGGATCAGGGGCAGGACTCAAACTCAGAGCTTCTTAGCTCCGAGGCCAGCTCTCCATCCACTAGTCCATGGATGCCTTAAAGCAAAATGTAATCATCGTTACTCATTATTATTATCAGGAAATTGTTCACTTCCCCTTAGCTTAGCATTTAGGCCAACAAAGGGCTGACTGGGCAGGGGCTGGCTCCCAGGTATTTCTGGTTCCAGAGTCAGGACGAGGCTTCAATCTGCTGGCCCAGAGACTCCACACTGCAACCAACAACTTAAAATTCAAGGCTCAGTGACACCCGTACAAATTTTGTTTTTCCGACACTGAAAAAGCAACAGTGGTATTAACTGGTTAGAAGGGTCAAGAAGTGTCTGCTCACCTGCTCAACAGCCTGCTCATAGTGTCTGAAATTCTCTAGTTCTCGCTTGGTCCTTTCCGTGAGCTGCTGGAAAATCTGCTTTCGCCATGCTGCCGTCTGGGCCGGAGTGATAGACAAAGACAGCGTCTGCATGGAGGTGGAGAGACCTGAAGGCCAGAGAGACATGATGGTCCCAGTCAGGTCAAGGGTAAGCAGCTTGGTTCAAAAGACAGGTGTCAAGCCTGTATAAAGCAGGGTGGAAAACAAAGGTACACATTCCCCAACTCCCTCCCCTTCTTTTTTTTTTAAATGAGGCTTTGTTTTTCCCAAGAGTCAAACAAAAAAATAGAAAAACAAACAAAACCACTCTTCTTCACTTGTCCAAAACCATTACTTGATGGGTACGTCTTAACTGCATCATTGTACCACAGCTCTGGAGGCAGGAAGGACTTTAGCGTTCACATCTAGTCCAACCCACTCATTTTAAAGACACAAAAACTGAGGTCCAAGAAGCTCACGTAGGTAGTAATTATGAAAGGTAAAATTTGAACTCAATTCCTATGACTCTAGAGGCAGAACTCTTTCTAGGGTACCACACTGTCTCGGAAAGGAATGCATTCAAGGTTAATGCTTTTCTCTTAACCTGGCAGGAAAATAAGCTAACCTGATCAGAAGAGTGATATTAGATTGGGGTGGGGGGAGGAGTTGGGGAAGAGCAGGAAAGAGGGGAAAGGACCTCAGACAATTTTTGCTACCCAACACTGTGGGAGCTGGTTTCTTTTTTCATGTTACTTTATTTTTCAATTAATAAGTATTCACTTTCTCTCCCTCCCACCTTACCACAAAAAAAAAACCCCAAAAAACAAAACCCTCTTAAAAAATATGCATAGTTGAGTAAAAAAGTTCCCAAATTGTCCATATCCAAAAGTGTATGTCTAATTCTGCATCTTGAATTCATTACCTGGGAGCTAGTTTCCAAAATCCATACCCACACTTGAGCCCCAGGAAATTAGATAAAAAGCTAGTCAGCAAAGTTGGCTAGGGAAGAGTGCCAACAGGTCCAAAGTCACAGGTGCAATGCTGATATGAACCATTTGTGATATGTTTACCGTTTCATGTTGGTGGCCATGGACTGCACCTGTAACCTTGGCCTGCCATTTTGCAGGTGTGTGCTGCTGGTCACAAGGGGGCCTGGGCAAAAGAGTACAAATGTTTCTGTGCAACTCATCCCCACCACTGGGCAAACATCTCAGGGCTCTGACAGGGGCAGGTCATCTTCATACCCTACTTTAAAAGTTAATAGGAAGTGGGGGAGGGAGCAGGGAAGGCACAGGAGTTAATATTTGCCATGAATCAAGTTCCAGTAAAAGGATTCCTTGAGGATGAGGAACAACACTCGGAGAAGGATTTGTGGGATTGGTAAAAGAATGGCTAAATGTCATGGCAGAAAAGAGAATCCGTCCCTCCAGTCCTGATCGCCCACCACTTGACGCTACCTAGAGTTCTGTCATGCAACACCTGCTTACAAAGTCACATTTCTGGCTCTCGGGGAAGAGGAATCCAAAAGGACACTCCTCAACTTATTCAGCATCTGTTTTACATGTAATCTCCTCTCTTAGCCAGGAAAGGGGGTGGG